GAGCACTTTCTTCTGACAGCCGGGTTTTAGTGGCTATGTGACTTGGAGAGTCTGACATCTTGGTACTCAGATGTGGCATATGCCGAACTAAAATGAACATCAATAGCTCCATAGTTGCAAACACAAGAGATTTTCCAGGAATGAGGCCACCACTGTCACCTCCTTCTCCTAATACTGGACAGGACTCTTTCTCCATGTCATCTTCATCTTAGATAAAAAATAATTTTGGTGAAATTTTCAGCAGAAAATTGAAAATGGCATATAAAATATCACAATAAATACCTTTAAGAAATTCCTTCAAAAGGATTTACATGTAAATGCCTAAATAATGCTACAATTCTTTCTTAGTATAATTCTCTGCCTTACTAGAATTTTGTGTATTAACTTCTCTAAACTAATGGATAGTTATTTTTTACTTGGAAAATATTAGGTATTTATTTCCTAATAAAAATAACACATATGCTAGGTTGAACTATGTGAAGTTGATATTTTTGGAGGGGAAAAATGATCAGCTATCAGCAATTTCATTTGGTCCTTTCAAATTTTCTAAATGTATGATCATTTTTTAAATCATAAACCTCCTGGCATTACTACTTTAAAAATTAGAGTGCAAATAAGGTTTACTTTAAGTTAGTGTGATTTATAGTGCTTACTTAGAGTATTTCTTTTTTCCTGCAAATAATCCTGAGCAGCTCTTACTATCTGTTGTACAACTCCAGTAACCAACAGCTGGATGGATGGTGGGTTCCAGGTCAAAAGGAGACGATGCAAAACACTCAGCAACTCAACACCAATCAGCTATTATAAATTGAATCAAATAAATTGAATTAATTTTAATTTTAAAGGATAAATGTATATTATTAAAAGCTGAGAAAACATACATATGAAAACCAAGGTATTTTGCAATTAACATTAACACAGAGGACTGTGTAACAAATAAGAATATTAACAATCTTGGGAAATGGTCACATTTCATTCTAACAGATTTTTAAGCAATAGATGTCTTGAATATTTAAGTTGACTTATTCTCCCACAGGTTAAAAAAATACTTGAGTTAAACATTATTGTTAAGAGTTTAGTGCCCTTAAACCAAATCTAAGCTGAGTACCTGAGAGTTGTGTGCCACAGACAACAGGAATTTTTGGCGAGTCCCTCCTCTATTCACCTCAGCAACGATTACAAACTTTCACTTTCAGCTTTCACAGGTAATCTGCCCAATGAGTCTGCCTCAAATTTCAAAGTCAGAGAAAGCTCAATGGCAAATCAAGTACCTTTACCTCTTCCCTTAATGTTTCCACTTTATCTAATACCCAGCTTCTTTTCCAAGTTGACTCATCTTTCTTCATGTGATCCCACCGTTCCCATCCTAGTTGACTTCCCAGGGATTCTTCAAAGATTTCAATCATATCTCATATGTCTTCAACCTCCCTGTCTAGTTAGACTATTCTCCTCAATATAAGGAAAATGTTCAATTCTTTCTTATCTAAAGCTCCCAAAGTCTCTTAGACCCTTTTATCTACCCACATGCCTCCTCTGTCTTACTCCTTCCTTTCCCAGCCTAGATGTTTTCACTTCATTTACTTTCTCATTCACCCCCCTGATCTTCTATAATCTGGCTTTTACCAACCCAAGAAAATCCTCTGCAGAAGGTCTCTAATAACCTCCTCTGGACCCTTTTCTTTCCTCATTTATGTACTATTTCTTTAGATGTTATAATCTGCATTCTTTTTTTTTTTTTTTGGTACTGGGGATTGAACCCAGGGGTACTTAACCACTGAACCACATCCCCAGCCTCCTTTTTTTGTTTTGTTTTGTTTTCATTTTGAGACAGGGTCTTACTAAGATGTGTAGGGCCTCACTTAATTTCTGAGGCTGGCTTTGAACTTGTGATCCTCCTACCTCAGCCATTAGAGTCACTAGGATTACAGGCATTAGCCACCACTCCTGGCCTCATCTGCCTTTCTTGAAATTTCTCCCTTATCTTTGATAAACTGTTTCTGTTTTGGTTTTTCTCTTACCACTCTAGTGGTCTCCAATGCTGATTTATTTCCTTCCTCTCAATCCTTAAATGCTATTTATCCTCAAGGCTTCAATATTGGTCCTCTTTTCTTCCTCCTTTAATCAGTTTTCCTAGACTAGTATATTATTTCTCTGAAATTATAAAAAGTCACTTAATTGGTCTCCCTGCCTCCCTTCTTGTCTCACAAACAACCTTCTACAAGATTGATAGCATGTTCCTTCTGAAATAAAAAAATCAATCATGTCATTCCTTTATTTAAATATTGCTAATTACTTCCCATCAATTTCAGGATAGAGTCAAAATTCTCTTATATGCTATAAAGAAATCTTTATGATTTGGTCTTTTCCCTGTTGTCCAGCCTCATCTAATAACCTCTACATTTTGCATTCACAAAAACCATACTAAATGACTATAGTGTCCCTAAACTTCTCCTATTTTCTCATGCTTCCTTAGTTTTTGTATTTACTACTTTATTCTTGGAGGAAAACCCAATCCTTTTCTTTGGCCTCAATAATTCCTCTGTAACTGAACGGATAAAGAAAATTCAATGTGATACATATACATACATATATATATATATATATATATATATATACACACACACACACATATACAATGGAATATTATTCAGCCATAAAGAAGAATGAAATTATTGCATTTTCTGGTAAATGGAAGGAACTGGAGAATATCATGCTAAGTGAAATAAGCCAGTCCCAAAGACCTAAAGGCCAAATGTTCTCCCTGATATGTGGATGGTAACCCACTACAAGGGAGGGCAGGGAGAGGAAGAACAGAAGTTCATTGGATTAGACAAAGGGGAATGAACGGAAAGGAGTGGGGATGGGAATAGGAAAAACAGTGAAAGTTATAAATTGGACATAACTTTCCTAGGTTCATAAATGAATACATGACCAGTATAACTCTACATCATGTACAACCACAAGAATGATATCCTAATTAGAATAAGTAATATTCCATGTATGTGTAATATGTCATGTATGTCTAAAAAGAACAACTAATAAATAAATAAATATAATTCCTCTGTAAGATTTGATTCAACCATTGTCTTTCCTGAGAAGATATCCTTCTCAGGACAGTTCCTATTCTCAGCACACCTTATATGCATGAACAAATTACATATTACACGATAGTTATCCCTTAATCCAGAGGCTGTAACATTACTTTTGATTATCTATAGTTAAAAACTGGGTCTGAGGCAGAACAGAAATAGAGTGACAGCAGCTAGGTGAATAAATACAACATGAATCAGTGCCCTCTGACAATGTTGAAAGTACAGGACCCAACTTTTTTAAAAAGTCCATTTTTCCCACTGTATAGCAATACTTGAATAAAATATCATTAAATCCAAAAAAAATAGCTAGCTGTGTAATATACTATATTAAAACCCAAATGCTCGAATTTAAATATATTAGTCACTCTTCTTTTATAGATCAAATCTAGGTTTAACTATCTGAAAACAATCCTAATATTTATTGTAGTAACTTGTAGTTCAAATTGTAGCACAGCTTGAGGCCACAGGGTTGGGGTTCAAACAAGAGTTAATCAGTGATTGAATCCTATACTCACACAGCATATGTTATGTTTTAGTTTTAGGTAGAATAAAATGCAAAACTAATTTTGACATCAAAAATTGGTATCAGGTTGGTATTTTATCTTTTTGTGTTGTTTTATTGGAAACTATCCAAGTGACACCATGTGGTAGTGGTGATGTCAAGAGACAAACTTTATTATAAAGATATAGAATTTCTAGTTACAAGGAATAACAAATCCAGTGGCAGCTTGGTTCTATAATATGAATAAAGTTCCCTAGATGTTTCATACTGAAATTAGAAAAGATGGTTCTTTAAATTGTAAATGAGCTACTACCAACCTCCCAAATTTCATTAAATGAGAGAGAAAACTTTATCTAACATTCAAAAGTGGCATAATTTGGGGCTGGAGTTGTGGTTCAGTGGTACAATGCTTGCCTGGCATATGTGAGGCCCTGGGTTCGTTCCTCAGTACCACACATAAATAAATAAAATAAAAGATCCACTTACAACTAAAAAATATTTTTTTAAAAAAAGTGACATAATTTACTTAATAGCCTTGTAAGTTACTTTAGCCTTTTACTACTTCAATCATTTACTAACTCTGAAGTTATTCCTTAAAGTTTTAGTTTTATTTGATTGATGATGAACAAATCAAAGAAGGTATAATGATATCTATAGTCTACTGCTGCTTGGTCATCCAAGATTAAATACAGAGAAATCTTGAATACTTATTATATATTGTCTTTCACTAATGTAATATATACTACTGTTATTAATTAATACAATATATATTTACTATCTGATAACATTATACTAATATAAATATATTTAAAACAAAGTATATAAATAGTTATTCATTTTAGAAATACACTGTACCTGATCATCTGTAATATGGATCCCTTCATTTTAGAAATACACTGTACCTGATCATCTGTAATATGGATCCTTTCATTTTAGAAATACACTGTACCTGATCTTCTGCAATATGGATCCGGGCACAAGAAGAATCCAGCAAGGTGTGCAAGGCCTGCAGACATGCAGTAACATGCTCCACAGGCTCCTCAGGTCTTGGGGAACAAAGAAACTGTATACTCACACCTGAAATACACAAAATAGAAATTGATAGAAAACACTTTATGTTGTATTGGCATCATATTTTTCCTCTATTTTTCATACAGATTACTTTAACCTACATTTACTTGTTAAAGTATAGTTCAAAATGGTTTCTAAGCTAAGCAGTCAAACTGAACATAAAGTTGTAGCATTGCACTGATTAATATTCAAACTAACATTTCTATTTCTGGGACTTTTTAAAATTACAGTATATTAAAAGTAACTTTATGAACATTATAACATTACACTTTTCATTTAATAGTTGCCAAGAAATTTTATATACAAACCAAGTTTTTTAAATGGCAAGCTATAGAGGCCCAATAAATGTCATGGGTAAAAAGTGCTATTAATGTATATGAGGTTAAGGTTTTGGAAATATTTCACATTTTCATTTATTGAATCTACAGATGAATTCTACAATTATACCTTTCAAATTGAGGTCCTTTTCCATCCCCAGAAAATATGAAATCACTAAAACCTTCATTAGAATGTATAAATTTTTAAACACTAAAACATCATCTAGAAAGTAACTGTAAATTAGGATTCTTTAAATTTTTAAACTTTTTTTCTTTATGGGATGATGGTTTGTTAAGTGCCAAGTATAAAGATAATCTGTTGTAGAATAAAAAAATTAAGTTTTTTTCTTGCAAATTATTTAGTATTGCTCTGTGAGTGAACATGACATCTACAATTTTTAAAGAGTAGTTTTAAATAATTTTTAGGCAAAAATTCAGCTAATTTATAAGATGAACTAAAAAATCCTTTTATGATTCTTTCTTTGAATTGTGCTGTACAAAATTTTCCCAAAGCATTAAAGTGAAAACTTGAATTTTCAAAAGTGATACATCTTTAAATATATTAATATGACACTCTACCTAAAATCAGATGCATTCGGTCTTTGTTAATTTCTGGCAAAGATTTAGCACTGGCCATTGCTCCTGATGCCTGGTTTAAACTGATGGATGCAGAACGTTTTTGTAAACCAGACACTGCTGCTTCTGTGGACTCTGCACACGTAAACCCTGTGCTATTTAACCAAAGTGCCACCGCATGAAGAATTGGGGCCCAGGAATTCCGATAATGAAGTCTAGCTGTATCAATAGTCTCAGGAGTATAAAATGCTCCACCTGTAAAACAATCAATTAAAAACATCACTGTCTATTACAAGTGTTCACTCATTTATGAATAACTAAACTTAAAAAACTACTTTTTTTAATTTTATTTTTTAGTTTTAGGTGGATACAATATCTTTTTTAACCCAAAAGATTCATCTGGCCAAAGAGTTTCTCCTCTCCCAACTAACCACTCTCTATAGCAACTTTCCTAAAACATAATTTTAAAGATTCTTTTTTGCCAAGTGCCTGCCTCTCCCTCACTGATACCTGCTTTCCACCTTTTCCTGTCCAGGGCTGGCGCCATTCGGTAGCCATACCTTTTCCTATCCTGTCTTCATAGGATCCACCTCACAGTCACCTCTCTTTCTACCATAACCAGGGAATTTGTTTCTTCTGTTTTTCTACTCTTCCTCTCCACCTTCTCCCACTACCAACACTGGGGATTTTCTCATCTCTCTTTGCCATAACAATGAATTCAGAAAGGAGAAAAAGGAGAAACTCCACTACTGTTATCATTAATATATGGGAAGAAAAATGGGTTATTTGAAAAGGAATTGATAATACCTTTTCTAAACAGGAATAATGCTCATGATGATTTCCAAATAAATTCCAATAGGAAAACAAACTAGAGTACAAACCAACAACTTGCAAAAAAGACTTTAGGAACATAATTCATTAGCAGAGTAGGATTTATATGAAAGAGCATACATGGACGAGTAAAGCAGTATTCTTCACCATGGTTATGCATAATGACTTGTTATCCATAGTTATTTCAAGTAATCTTGCACATAATACAGCTAAAACAGTGATTAAAATTTTTGCTTCAGCTAACAAAAGTTTTTTGCAGTAAAAATCTCAAATCCATAAATGCAATAAGAAAACATGTTCTAAGAAACAACATAAGGTTTAAGTCCACAAGAATTTAGGACATTTTTATTACTAGTGCTAGTTTCTACCAAGTTCATTTTGTTTAATTATTAAACTGAACTTTATAAAGGCAAACTGTGAATACAATACTTACCATCTGGGGGAAGCTGACTAGAAAATTCTGCTGGTAAGGTCAAAAGAGCATAGTCTTTCAAGGCTGCCAACCACAGGCGGCTAAGTGTTGGCAGTTCGGGTTGTACCAGTGTTATTAAACTGTCTGGTGGTAGTTCATCTATGGTACCATAGTCATCCTCATCATCATCAGTATTCTTCATTGCTCTTTTTGGTTTTGACTCTGCTTCCTTTTTAATATTCATAGCAACCACATATACCTAGTAAGATATTCACAAGGTGACAATAACAAGGCTTAAGATAAAAATCACATATTTTAAGTTGCTGTAATTGTACAGTTGAATTATCAAAGGTAAATAGGTATAGTGGCTGGGGTTGCTCAGTGGTAAGAGTGCTCACCTATATGTGTGGGGCCCTGGGTTCGATTCTTAGCACCACATACAAATAAATAAAATAAAGGTATTGTATCCACCTACAACTAAAAATATATTTTTTAAAAAAGGTAAATGGGTATAGATATTAAGAGATTGCAATAACCAAAAAAGAGTAATTGCCTCTGCTTTGGAAGCAATTTTTTAAAGCTGATCTGGCTTCTGACTATTCTTCTCACAGCCTAGTCCCGGAATAGGCTTTTCTTGGGTTCCCTTGTTCTTCTTTACAAAGCCTCCTTTTTTTTTTTTTTTTTTGGCCATGGGGTATAACTTCCTGTTTACTGCCTACACTTTCCTAGACTTATAAGACATAATCAGACAGCATTCAAAGAGAAAGGCTGAAAATAGGGAGGTGGCCAAAGAAAGGATTTCCATAAATATTCTCCTAAACTCCCTCTTACACAGTCCTTAAATGATATTTAGCAATGTAGCAATTACAACAGATAGCTGAGCTAAAAATATAATTTACTCGTCACATATATTATCTGTAGTCTTTCTCTCTAGTTTGTGAACCAGAATGGCATATAATAACAACTTTCCTAAAACATAATTTTAAAGATTCTTTTTTTGCCAACTTTGTTTTTCTACATATATTTAGGCTTTGGCAACTTGGAACATACAAACTGAATTATATCATAATGAAAAGGCAAAATATAAAACAATAAGAGCAAAAAAGTAAAGTACACTCCAAAAAATCTTAAAAAAAAATTGTTTTCTTCCTACAGTATTATTTCCAGTGTGTCTAACGGGAAGTCTGTGTGTCCAGTACACTATAAGCTTCTTTGTAGGAGGTACTGCATCTTACTTCTATTCTTACATTGGGCAGACAGGCACAGCACAGAGAAAACATAGCAACTAAGTTCGAAAATACAGACTTTGGGTTTCAGGTTATAAAAAATATCACATTCAGGGGTTGGGGATGTGGCTCAAGCAGTAGTGTGCTCGCCTGGCATGCGTGTAGCCCAGGTTCGATCCTCAGCATCACATACAAACAAAGATGTTGTGTCCACCAAAAACTAAAAAATAAATATTAAAAATTTTTTCTCTCTCTCTCTAAAAAAAAAATCACATTCATACTTCTCAGTGATTTTAAGCTTGTTTTTCCTCCTAAATCTGTTATTATACTGGCAGTAAAAGAATCTCAGTAAGCAATAAAAGAAACTCAATGGTTCACTTGAATCCTATCTACTACATATCTTTTGACTTGCATTTAGGAACATAGTGCATTGGCAGAGTAAGATTTATATGAAAGAGTATACATTGATCAGTACAGGAGTATGCTGTAGGACCTGACGCAACAATGACAAGAAATACAGTTTTTGCTATTCATGAACCCATAGACCAATACAATGATAGGAGTATCAGAAAAATGCTGAGAGAAGGAATTTTTTAAAATTTATTTTTAATGATCTTCCTTACCACACTCTATCCAGTACCTAAGGACAGTGCCAGGGTCTATCAACTAATGAACATGTGATGATTTCTGTAGTGAATGAATGAATGAATCTTAGAGAGCATCAAGGACGGAAAAATTTTAACTCTTGGAGCATGAGACAGGTAAGAAAGAATTTTTCTGTGTGTGTATGTGGTGGTGCTAGGGATTGAACACCATAGTGTTGCTTTACCACTAAGCTACATCCCCATCCCTTTTTAGTTTTTATTCTGAGACAGCATCTTATTACATTGCCTGGGCTGACCCTGAACTGTGCAATTCTCCTGCTTCAGCCTCCTGAGTTGCTGGGGTTACAGGCATGTGCCACCGCATTCCTTCAAGGCACAGTTTTCAAGGATAAAACTTCAAAAACTTCACTGTTCACAGGCAAAGATGTAAAGGACAGTGTAGACAGAGGGAATAACAACAATAAGAGCATAAAAACAAGCAACAGCATTATACTTTGAGAGAACTACAAGTTTGGGGTACTGTCTGAGCACAGGGTAAAATGGAAGTAACTGAGGATTTTACTCCTTAAGCAATGCACAAAGGAGAATGTAACTGCAGGATTTTAAGGTAAAATGTATGCACTTTTTTTTAAACTTTTGATTATAATCATTAATAAAGGTTGTAAAATAAGTCTAAAAATGACTCATAATCCCAATATCCACATTCATATTTTATCTTTATAAGCTATAATTTTGCTCTACAGAGAATTTTTAATTTATTTTTATTGGTTAACATATCATGGGATTTTCTTGACTGAATACTAGATATTGATAGTCAATATTCGGATGGCAACAGTAGATGATATAACTAATACATCTATAGTACATAATATAACTAATAATTTCCCTGTAGCAGAAATTTTATATTTACTTCTGATTCTTTATATAGCCTTTGGAATCTTAAATATAATGATAAAAAATATTCACTTCTTCATATTATAAGTAACGTTGCAAGTAAACTTTTTTTTTTTTGGTACCAGGTGCTTTACCAACTAAGCTACACCCTCATCCCTTTTTATTTATTTATTTATTTAGAGACATTAAATTGTTTAAGACCTTGTTAAATTGCTGAGACTGTTGTTTTTTAACTTGCAATCCTTCTGCTCCAGCCTCCTAAGGTACTGGGATTACAGGCATGCACCACCATGTTCAGCAGGAATCAGTTTCTTGAAATACTGGAGGGCAGATAACAAGAATTCAAAAGCAGCTGGGTACAGTAGCACATGCCTGTAATCCCAGGAATTTAGGAGGTTGAGGAAGGAGGATCCCAAGTTTGAGGCCAGCCTGAGCAATTTAGCAAGATCCTATCTCAAAATAAAAAATAAAAAAGGGTTTGGGGATATGGCTCAATGGTTAAACATCCCTGGCTTTAAGGATGTGACTCTACTTTGTATACAACCAGAAATGTGAAAAACTGTGTTCTATATGTGTAATATGAATTGTAATGCATTCTGTTGTCATATATAACAAATTAAAACTTAAAATATATATATACATATATATGTGTGTGTGTGTGTGTGTATATATATATATATATAGTTAACAGACCTTTATTTTATTTATTTACTTATATGCTGTCTGAGACTCAAACCCAGTGCCTCACACATGCTAGCCAGAGCTCCACCACAGAGCTACTACTCCAGCCCAAGGGTCAGCTTTTAAAAACTTTGTGTGTGTGTGTGTGAGAGAGAGAGAGAGAGAGAGAGATACTGGGGATTAAACCCAAGGCCTCCTATTTGCTAGGCAAGTGCTCTACCCCTGAACTCCATCCCAGGCTGAAACAAACATTATTTTACCAATGGGAGCAGGAAAACGTTTCTCATGGATGGAGAAATGGTTCAATAACAATGGCTGTGGTTACCTCTGCCCATGCTTTGAGAACAGCCAGTTTTTCCATTGTCGTGGCACTTTCTCGGTATAGTTGGCTGGAAGATCCTTTTCCGGCCTGAACTTTGTCCAGAGAAGAAACAAGCAGATTGTGTACTCGACGGAGATCATTGAGATCACTAACAACTCCACTTCCAATCCATGTGCTGCATACCTAGTCAAGGAAAATTCAAAAAAATTTGTATACAGAAAACAAATATTGAAAAAAAGAGAGTGGAGTAAATATTCTCTTTCTTGAGGGAAAAACACAACACAAAACCGAAAGCAAAACAAAAAACTACCCAATATTGTAATTTGTATTATTTTTTTGAAATAAATCAGCAAGTATAGATTTTCTTGTATTCCTCTATAAGAAAATTTACTTATAATGTTTCCATTGTCTAATTTAACAAAAAGTTTAACAGAAATAATTTTCCAACCACAGTCGTTCAGTCTTAAATTTTTCAATTTAACAAAATTTTTGCAAACCACAGGCAAAGGGTTATGCTAGTTGCATTGAATGAGATAAAAATAATAAAAATTGAAGGGAAAAATACAGACCCTACCATCAAGTAAGAAAACACAGACTGAACAAACACATAGGAACATTTCATGACAATGATACTACACACTTAAAAACAGACAAGTGAGATTAATTTTAGCAGGTGATATGGGAATATCTGGATAGTAGAAAGTTTATGTATACAGACTCAGAGGAGTTAAATGAGGAAGAAATGGCAATTAGCATAGTCTTTGAGATCAGATATGGTAAAATTTAAATGGAATGTGAACTGAATTCAGACATTATTCTGTAGACAACCATGAGTTTCCATGGCTGCTTTTTTTTTTTTTTTCCTTAATTGGTTCTTTTTAGTTGTATGACAGTAGAATTCCTTTTGATATAATTGAACAAGCATGGGATGTATCTTATTCTAGGTAGGACACTATTCTTATGGATGTATATGATGGTGGGGTTCACTATGTTGTATTCATAGAAGTACATAGAAAATTATTTCAGGATTTATTCCACTGTCTTTTCTTTTCTGATCCCCTTCCCTTCCATTCATTCCCCTTTGTCTACTACTGAAAATATATTCTTCCCCTCTCCCCACTTATTGTGTATAATTTTAAGCTTCTATGGCTTCTGAGGAGGCAAATGATATTATTAGAATTGTGCCAGTACTACCGTATAGGGGGAAATGTATACAGCTGGTAAACAATATATTATGTGTCTATTAGAATACTATATAGCAGAGATGAAATGGATTAAACTGGGAATAGAATGAAAAAGGAGAGGCATCCAAAAGAAACTCAGGATTTGGAAACCAATTAGATATTTTTAGGGTATAAGGACAGGGAGATGTAAAATGAGTGAGAAATAGATTAGATTGTCAAAAAAAAAAAGATTTTGATTGTCAAAGCTTCTAATTTGGATGAATGGAAGGAAGTTGACACCTTTGTTTGAGGGCGCTCCTACAAGAAAATAGGAAAGGTTAGTGAAGGTGAGAAGTTAGCAAGATTTTGATTCCAAACATTTTTACATGCTGAGTTCTAAGTGTCACTAAGAGACACATGGAAAGATACTCAGCAGGCAGTTGAAAACTTGGGTCTGGATTTCAGGAGCCAGTTCAAGGATAACTACACAAATCTAGGAATTTCCAAAGATAACTAAAGTAACAGCAGTAGGTAAATGTTAAAAAAGAAAGGTTAAAAAAAGAAAAACCTTAAAGCCAGATCATAGGGAAAAGAGTTACACTTTAGGGACAAGTAGAAAAAGCATAAAGAAAAAAAGAAAGTAAAAAGAAAAAAACAGAAAATCCAGGCAAATGTAGTGATAATGGAGCCCAGGAGAGAATTTCAAGAAGAGGTGGTCTGACAGTGCCAACTTCACCAACGACAATTATAGGTCCTCACTTTCTCATCCAAAACCAACCCTTGGGCCAAGGTGGGTTTCACAATTCACAAATTTTGAGTAAAAGGTAACAAAGTACATGAACTTCATTAGGAAAAACATATGAAGGGCATATGACAGCACTCCATAATTAACACCAAGATACTTCTGCAATGAAACATCAGGAATCACTCCAGAGAAATTTATCAATACTAAAATTTCTATGTCAAGGCTAAATGAACACAAGTCAGTTCGGATTTTGCTGCCAAATAAAGCATTAAAAAGCTTCTGGTTTTCAGTCTGGATTTCAAATCATGGCTAATAGACTTGTATTTCTATATCTAAAACTTTTTGAAAGAGGAGAATAAATATTTAAGTAAATAATTTTATTCTCTTAAAATTTTATTCTCAAAGAATCAATATTAAATATGATAAAATAAGGGCATTTTAAAATGATTATTGTCCATTAAAGATATACTGGTGGCTCACTTGAAACTAATGTTTGAAATATGCTATGTCAAGAGCTTTGTAAGGTTTTGAACAACCAATTAAAAATAAAATTAAAAAAAAAACCAAATAAGTCATTTCCCAATATTATAAAATAATCTGAGCTAATGAAAAAAAAAAGATATACTGGTGGCAAAAAAAAAAAAAGCCAGTCAAAACAATGCTGAAATCATAATGAAATTTAAAGTGAAATGAGATAAATATGGTTATGAAAAGTAAAAGTTGTGATTTCTTTCTTTCCTTTTGTTACTGGGGATTGAACACAGGGGCACTTTACCAGTGAGCTTAGTCCCTAGTACCAGTGAGATAGTGCCTAAATTGCTGAGGCTGGCCTTGAACTTTCGATCCTCCTGCCTCAGCCTCCAGAGCCAATGGGATTACAGACATGAGCCAACATGCCCAGTGAAAAAGATGATTTCTAAGGAAACTAAACATAGTAGGTAGTTTTGATAAATATATCTGTACAATTTGGTAGAAATATTACTTAAAGTTGAGTAAAATTGTAAAGATTGAAAATTTGAAACTGTTTTCTTTGCAAAAATCTAAGTACCTTCTTCACTTTTTTTTTTTAAATTTAATTTTTTATTTTTTTTATTGGTTGTTCACAACATTACAAAGCTCTTGACATATCATATTTCATACATTAGATTGAAGTGGGTTATGAACTCCCAATTTTACCCCAAATGCAGATTGCAGAATCACGTCGGTTACACATCCACAATCTTCTTCACTTTAAAGAAGCCCTAACAAAATTCCACAAAATACATTAGGGGTTTGGTTTATGAAGGAAGAGAAAGCAACCAAGAACAGTGATGCATGCCTGTAATTCCAGGACTTGGGAGGATGAGGCAGGAAGATCACAAATTCAAGGTCAGTCTGGGCATCTTAGGAAACCCTGTCTCAAAAACTAAAAAAGGGTGGGGAGTAGCTCAGTAGTAAAGTGACCCTGGGTTAAATCCCAGTACCAGACAAAGAGTAAAAGAAAAAAGACAAAGTAGCACTGACTCAGCAAAACCTTACTAAGAGAAAAGACCTTGCTACATATCAGAAGCTAAAATATTTAAGGGTGCATTGTATTTATGATTTTGACCCTGCTTGAATTTATTTTTGACTAACCCACTGATTAATGTCCCCAACTGTGTCACACTTGAGAGTCCCAATATCTAAGAGTTATCCTGATTTAAGATTTCTTTAGATGACATTATTCCCATTGAGGGTCTCTCCTACAATTACAATTAGTTACAATTAATTCTCTTAAGAATTACCCTGATTTTAACATTTCTTAATATGACATTATTCCTGCAAACAAGTAGAGATACCCTGAAAGCCAAGTAAAGGAATCTGCAACTAACCCACTGCCCCACCTGTTTCAAAACAGGTTTCCTCCTGCAACAGAAAGAAAGGAGGTCATGAATTTAAGCCTGCCACTGAAAAAGAAGAAACTTCTTATAGGAAAAGTATCTAGGGACACAAAAACAAATAAGAAGTTTAAGGCAAATTCAATCACAGGAAACTTTGATACAACTCATTTAAGAGATGAAATTCTAATAGCCTTTGCTTTTCTAAGGATTATGAGTCTTGTAGGAGTTTTGTCTGCTTAAATTCTATGCTCTGAAACATCACTGTGACACATTTACACATGATTGGGATTTCTGATGTTTGTGTGTCGGTATCCTAAACCAAATCACCTACTCTAACCCTAACATTTGTCCCACAATTCAGAGACCTAGCTCTTATAACCTCTCTTGTCTCCAGTCTGCTACAGGTGGAAGAATTAATTCTTCCTCAGACTACCATAAAGGCAAGCAGGCTTCAGAGAAATACATCTTCTCAATGGAAATAAGAGGCAAGCCTAATTAGCCAGAGAGGACAAAGTCAGAATTTCAAACTTATTATGGCAGAGAGCAGAATCTTCTTCAAATAAAAGTCACATAAACCTTGGTCATGAATCTAAGCCAAAATGATGAAATGCAGCCCTGAATTCTAGAAAACTGGGAAAAAGACAGTTGCTTCTCTTCTGTCCATAGGTAACCAAGTAAGCAATCTGATTTTTCTGAAAGATTAGACCTTAATACATGAATCCTTTAGGATAAAGCATATGAAAAAGAGGAACTTATAGATGTAGGAACATGTGTTTTTCTGTGGTTTTGTGACTTTCTTTAGATACAATAATATGCAAATAATGCTTTGAGATTAATTTTACAATGAAATTTCCAAATTGTGAGATGATTCTTTTTAGGATAATTTAATACTTACAAACATATAGAATTTTCATAACCTGTGGTCAAAATAATGCTTATTAATAAATTATCATTATTTATTCATTCTTTAGTCATCATAGATTTTCTTTTGTACTTTTTTTGTCCCTTTTATGATTTACCTATGACTGTATACTTCTGGATAAAATAAGAGCTATGTATCCAAAAGTCGAATTCTTAGCTATGACCACCCCCCCCCAAAAAAAAAACACGTGATTAACAGTTAATTACTTCATCATTTCATGCAGAATAAAAAAGAAAACCTCTAGCTGGAAGTGGTGGCACATGACTGTAATACTAGCTACTCAAGAGGCGTAGGCAGAAGGATAGCAAGCATGAGGCCAGCACTTAGTAAGGCCCTGCCTTAAAATAAAAATTAAAACAGGCTGGTGATGTTGCTCAGTGGTAGAGCACTTCTGAGTTAGATTCCCAGTATTGGGGGTGGGGTGACTAACAGCTACAATTTTAAGGTAAGTTTTATTTGATTTTTCTCTCTTCTTTCTTGCAGTGAAATCCTAAGATATCTCTGAATTTACAGAAAACAACCACAGATAGCAAATTTTTCTTCTTACCTGGCAAGCTTTTGCTATTATATCTGATGGTGTATCTTGTGAGAAAGCTGGTCTTAGAGCAGCTCCTACCTAGAAAAATGAATAAAGCATTTAATTTTAGAGATAAGTAGTAAATATAAAGTCTCTTGTGTCTTTGAAGATGGAAATATACAAAATGCATTTTTGTTCATTTTTCTTTTTATTACTTCTCTCCTATATCTTCAGACACAATAAATGCAACCACACCATTTTTCTTTGCTTTCCAGGAGGCTATCATTATCAAATCTATATAATATTATACCAAATAGGCAATTCATCTTCTTTTTCCTTTGTTTTTGTGTATTAGTAAACAGAATTTCCTGACAGAGTCTCATGTTATTAGAGATAAAAAAAAAAAAATGTTAGCTGGGTGCCACCGCCCACGCCTGTAATCCCAGCAATTTAGGAGGCTGAGGCAGGAGGATCACAAATTCAAGGTCAGCCTGGGCAACATAGCAAATCGTCTCAAAAACTTAAAAAGGGGGGTTGGGGTTGTGGCTGTGGTAAAGTGCTTGCCTCAAATACATGGAGTACTGGATTTGATCCTCAGCACCACATAACAAATAAAATAAATAAAATAAAGGTATGTCCATCTACAACTAAACATTAAAAAAAAAACTTAAAAAGGGTGAGGATATGGCTCAGTAGTTAGGTGCCCCTAAATTCAATTCCCGTACCCAAAATAAAAAAATAAAAAAAAAATAAAAAATACTGTTATTGTGGGTTTTTTCCTGTCTTTAGCTCTCAAACCATTTTTCTAATACTACTTATCTCTTGAGTGAATAAAAAATTCCTATTGTGTTGTGCATTTTTCCTGACTATATTTTTCTAAACATGTCTAACAGTATTGACATAATGAGTAAATCTCATGTAGCTGGATCAGTATCTTTAAATAACTGATACTAAAAAAAAAAAATGTAGTCACTAAAAGACCTCAGAGATCATTTCACCTCAGAAAGAAATGCTCTAGAAGATTACTCAGAAATATTAGTTTATGCATTGTTGTTATGTTAATAAGTAAAGGAATATGACGTTTAATCTTAAATAAGCAATATCAGTCATAGATTCTTAGGTGTATCAATAGATTTAATGTGTATGAGTTGAATAAAGGGATTAGATGCTGTCAACTCCTCAGTTGAGATTTCTTCCCTGATTGAGATTCAGTCACTAACAGTATCAACAGTATTTTGGGGCTGGGGATATAGCTCAGTTGGTAGAATGCTTGCCTCACCTGCACAAGGCCCTGGATTCAATCCCCAGTACTACACACACACACACACAAAAGAAAAAAAAAAAAAAACAGTAGTTTTGGAATGGATCAAAAGTCCCTCCCTGTGATTAAAGACACAAGGCAACTAATTACAACATGTGGTAT